ACATGCTGGTCATAGCAAACACCCTCTTCCAACAACCTAGGAGGTGACTCTACACATGGTCATCACCAGATGGGCAACATCAAAATCAGACTGATTATATAATTTGCAGTCAAAGATGGAGAAGCTCCATACAGTCAGTAAAAACAAGACCTGGAGCTGACTGTGGCTCAGATCATGAGCTACTCATTGCAAAATTCAGGCTTAAACTGAAGAAAGTTGGGAAAACCATGAGGCCATTCAGGTTTGACCTAGATCACATCCCTGATTAATATACAGTGGAGGTGAAGAATAGGTTTAGGGACTAGATTTGATAGACAGAGTGCCTGAAGAACTATGGATGGAGGTTCATGACATTGTACAGGAGGCAGCAATCAGCACCATCCCAAAGAAACAGAAATGCAAGAAAGCAAAGTGGCTGTCTGATGAGGCTTTACAAATAGCTGAGGAAAGAAGGAAAGCAAAGGGCAAAGATGAAAAGGAAAGATTTACCCAACTGAATGCAGATTTCCAGAGAACAGCAAGAAGAGATAAGGAGGCCTTCCTGAATGAACAATGCAAAGTAATAGAGGAAAACAATAGAATGGGAAGGACTAGAGATCTCTTCAAGAAAATTGGAAAAAATCAAGGGAATGTTTTGTGCAAAGCTGGCCATAATAAAGCACAAAAATGGTAGTGACCTAAGAGAAGCAGAAGAGATTAGGAAGAGGTGGCAAGAATACACAGAAGAACTATACAAGAAGAATCTCAATGTCCTTGACAACCATAAACTTTGGCGTTGCTTTGGTTAACACATTGCATTCAAATCCAGGCTATAACATTTTAATTTCATTTCCAATTATATTACTTTGGTTTGCAATGTGCATTTTTTCTTTTTTTTTCACAACTGGCAAAAACTAAGATATATTGGTATACTTAAGGGTCCAGCAACTTGCAGCCCCGCTTCTAACATTAGCTACTGTAATGTACTGCTGCCTTTCCACGTGTAAGGCATCAGCCTGACATGCCCGGACTTGCCCGGGCTGGCCAGGCACAATTCATCTGTAGCTTCAGTCGATAGACAAAGGATCCGAAGGATCCTAGCCGGCCCAATCAAAGGGCTAGCTTCCCAGCCAGGAGACCAATGGTCGCCCGGTTATTGTAAATAGCCTATCGGGAGTAGGGGGTGTGTTTAGGTATACTTGGTGGCGGGCTTTCTGAACGCATATAAACCGGCCTGTGAGCGGGTTTCCTTTGTCTTGTTCCTGATCTAATAAAGTACTCTTGCTGAATCACTCTTGCTGAATCACTCCACGTTCTGAGTACTTTTCAGCTACATTTGTTGTTTTTGTTTGTTATTGTTTTAAATAAAACTAAGGCTAATGTAAACACTTTGATTGTTTACCTATAAACTATACATTTTTGTGTTAAGTTATAAACAATATATTTTAATTTCTTAAAGTAAGTTTAGGTTTGATAAGAAAGTAAGTAGTGCATATAGTTTAATATCCCTTCTGTTCTGGGGAAAATAATATATTACTAAAAACTAGATAAACTAATCCCTTCTATAATCATGTAAAACAGTGATTGACCCATTACTTTACTTTAGGGATGGGTACAAACCAGTTCATGAGCCAAAATTCGCACAAACTTGACCCAGTTCAGAGCCCCCAACTTTTGTCTAGTTTGGCTGTTTGGGCCATTTAAATCTAACTATTGAACAGCACAGGTATGAAACTGAGCTTTTAGGTTTACATAAGAACATAAGAGGCGCCAATGTTGGATCAGGCCAAAGGCCCATCCAGTCCAACACTCTGTGTCACACGGTGGCCAGAAATATCAGTGCCATCAGGAGGTCCACCAGTGGGGCCGGGACATTAGAAGCCCTCCCACTGTTGACCCCCCCAAGCACCAAGAAGACAGAGCATCACTTGCCCCAGAGCCCCTATCTATACCTTGTAGCTAATAGCCACTGATGGACCTCTGCTCCATATGCCTATCTAATTCCCTTTTGAAGCCGTCCATGCTTGTAGCCGCCACCATTGGCTGTGAGCCATGTCACCAGTCAGTTTCACTTCCTCCTACTTCAAACCGAGGGGCAGCAAAATGGAGACCTGAGCAGCACGGGTTCACAGCTGAGCTGTTAGACTTAAATGGCTGCTTGCCATTTCACCAGTTGGTTTTGCTCTCCCTGCTTGGAAGCAGGGGGAAGCAAAACCAACCAATTTAAACTTAACAGCAGGGTGGGTCCACCAGTCAGCTGTTACGTTTAAATGGCTGCAAGCCATTAAACCCATCAGTCCCCCCCCCCGCTTTGAACTGGGGGAAGCAAAATGGACAGGTTAATGGCTCACGATCCCCTCCTTTCTCTGGGCTGTAGCAAGCTGTGGCTGGGAGAAAGGGAAACCTGAACTGCTTGCTTCGGTTCACAGCATTTTGGGCTCAGTTCAGGGTTCAGTTCAGGAGCTGCCCTGAAACCGAAACCAAACCAGGATTTTTAGGTTAATCTCTCTCTCTCTCTCTCTCTCTCTCTCTCTCTCTCTCTCTCTCTCTCTCTCTTCACATTATTATGACCATTGTTATATTCCCATTTTCAGGAATTATTTCCCTCTGTCATGGGGAAATTGACTTCTAGCAAAAGGTTATCATCTTTTTACATCAAAAGAGAAAGGTAATTTATTCTTGTCAGTTGCCTTCAACTAGCATGTCATTAAAATTATCCCTTTATTGCACACATTCATATACATGACATCTTAAGTCATACCCATCTGTCATTTGAAACAGACAAAAGAACTAGCTATCCTTCAAAACAAGCTCTCTTTTTTACTAAAGTTCTGTCAAAAATGTTTTTGATTATTAACATGTCCAACCTATCAATGGAATGGTCACTTTTTCTCATTTATTTTTCCTACAATCCTGTCAAAAAATGATAGCGTGATCTTAAAGTAATTCAGAACTAAAACTACCAACCAAAGGGGACAAACAGAGTAGCAACCGTGAATGCTCTTTTTATACAACCACTTCTGGAGACTGAAGAATCTATGCATGTTATGCATTCCCTAAAAATTCAAACATCCCCCAAACAGGAATCCTTTTTTTAAGCCCCCGAAGGGGATTTTTTTTTTTTATATTACACAAACTACCAAGAAAAAATAGGGATAGGGGAACTACAATTAGGGAGAAAGAAAAGGCAACCCACACTAAACTAAAAACCCAAGGTTAGGAGATAATTCCCTGTTAAAACTACTGTTAGTAAAAAAAAAAAAAGCTGTTAATAAACAATATACTTTGTGAGGACCTGTCTTTCTAAGCTTATATGTTAGTTAGTTACTTGTTATGAGAAGATTTCCCGAGCATCTCCTCCAACTCACTTCATAAAGGCAATCTGCAAAGTCCTTCCGCCTTTACATCTATACTAAAACTCTCTAAAATCTTGATAGCTTCTTAGATGTTCACTGCAACCCAATCTTCTTCCGTCCAAAGGAATAAAACCGCCAGTCTTAAGCCTCTTCCGCTCTGGTCTCGGGGCCCAGTGGCATCTCAAAGGTTTCTTGATTGTAAAGGGAAACTCCACCTCTTTTTTCTCAGCAGACTTTAAGATGACACTTTCTAAGAACACTTGCAAGTAAGGAATTAAATCCTTGTAAATTTTTCCTGTTTCTCTTGTGCCTTTTCTTCTTTTCTCACTGAGATCGCTGTTTAATTTAGTGTCCATCTCATTCGCTTTGAAAGCCCTCAATTCCATTTTTTCTACTATCGCCTCCTGGAGCTGCCGGGACACAAATTGTTGATTTATCTTGGCAAGCTGCTGGTTAATACCAACAAGTTACTCCAGAATCGGCTTAATGGCTTCTGCTACTAGTGCAGTGACGTCAACTTCCCTTCTTCTCAGAGTTTTCACCATCTTTTTTTGAGTGCCTGCTATTTCAATGCTTTATTTTCAATAAAATCTCTTTTTTCCTGGTTCTGCAAATCGCATTCGCTGTTTAAAAGCTCATGGAAATCTCCCACAACAGGCTTGCACACTTGTAAATAAAGTCTTTCAGAAGTATCTGTTTACAGCTGGCTCTCTCTCTCCCCCTCCCCTCATCCGTTTATGTAAACGCGTCAGAGAGGCACCCCCCCCTCCAGTCACTTAAGGGGTTTCGGGGGGGGATTTCGCTTCAAGTATCCGTTTACAATCTTTTCTCTCTCTCTCCCCCTCCTTCGTTTATGTAAATGCATTGAGAGACGTCCCTCTCTCAGCACGTTCCAATCGCTCAAAAAGTTTTTCCTTTTTTTGGGGGGGATTTTCTCTTCTGAAGACAAATAGCTAATTTTCACTCACAGTTCACTTCTTAACTCAAAGTTCACTGTTGGTCTTTATCTTGACCACACTCTTAATCGCTCCTCCACTAGATCTCCTGCGCTTGATCGGGTCGACACAGCTTGTGGCCTCGCTAAGAGAATGCAGTCAGCGAGAGGGACCATCAGGGCGGAGGGGAGCCTCCATCTCCCTGCAGTTAGCAGGAAAAGAGGCTCACCCTCAAAAGCCCTATGGCTTGGAAGTTCTCCCCGAACTCCCGTGGGGGTGCCGATTCAGCGGCACCTCTCCCCCTTGCTGCTGTGCGGTATGCCTTCCCAGAGAGCTGGGAAAGGCCTCCGCCATCATTGTGTCATAGACCCCGCCTCCCCCCCAAACAAGAATCCTGTAGCTCTACAGATCAGAATAGCCTTGCTTTAGTTAACATGATTACCACTATGGATTGCACTTCCTGAAGATTCTACATACAACAGAAGATAACTAGAAGCTGTGGTTCATATTATCACCTGACGGGGAGATCCACGCATGCGCTAGATACGAGAGGACGTGCCTCCGACTCTCTCCTCCAAAGCAAGGAAAATAAGGCCTAAAACAAACACAGAAAGGGAAAAAAACTACTCGGGTGAGTAGAAAACAAGCTATTAAGGGGGTGAAGATAAGACGCAGAAAGGAGAAAGTGAAAGGAGAAAGAAACAAGCTAGAGATAGCATTAACTGGGCGTGGGGCCAAAGCCACTAATTATAGGAAGCAGCAGGTGGAGGCTGCAAAAATAACTGAATAATGGCACGGTCCATAAAAGAGCTTTCTGACCAGCTGGCCTCATTCCAAAAAGTTATAACAGATGACCTAGGAGTTCTAAAAAAAAGATATAGCGAAGATAGCCAACGATATGGGCGCGGTGAGAGAAATGGCCCAACAAGCGAAGCAGAAGGCCGACAACAATGAACATAAGATCAAAGAGTTGACAAAAAACTTGGCAAGACAGTCAGACAGACAGCGAAGAAGAAATATTATTATAGCTGGTATCAGCGAGGAGATAACGCCGATGCAATTAGAGCAGACACTCTGCCAGTTCTTTAAAGAGAATGGCGTTCAGGTCGAACAAGCTGAGATTGAGAGGGCCCATAGGCTGTATAAAAAACAAAGAGGGGGAGAACCCAGACAAGTTATAATTGCTTTTGCCAGAGAAAAATTAAAGGACGAGGTCTTTAGCACCCTTAGGAGAGTTAAAGACTTAATGTTTCAAGGGAAAAAAATCTTTGTGAGCCATGACTTCAGCCAAGAGACGCTGCAAGAGAAAAGGCGCCTGAAACCTTATGCACACAAACTTTATAAGGAAGGAATTAACTTCACCTGGGGATACCCAATAACTCTAATTGTGTTCCGAGATGGCAAGAGGTACAGAGCCAGGAACCCAACGGAAGCAAAGAAAATGCTTAATGAACTGGGAGTGGATGCCAGCAACTGTGAGGAGGGAGAGATGGAGTATGATAGCAACCCAAACGAAGAAGGGGAGGAGCCGAGGCCACACAGCTCTAAGCGATACAGAACTGACTCCCGAGATGCAAGCAACTAAAGGGAAGTATACACTCATGGTTGGGCCTAATGGTAATTAATGAGATAAGAAAAGAATGGGGAGAGAGAAGGGGGGATGCGGGATCTCTGGAATGTGGAGAGAAGGGGTGAGGAACCCCAGGAAAGTTTCTCTTCCACGTGGGAGGGGGGAAGGGGGAGGGGGAAACAATAACAATAAGGAAACAGTGAACAGGCTTCGGCTACGGGGGGGAGGCGGGAAGTTTTCCAAAGAATATGGCTAGATTAATTAAAATACTTTCACTTAATGTAAATGGCTTATCCTCAAACCTTAAGCGATACCGGCTAGGCAAGATGGCAAGAGATGAAGGGATTAATCTAATATGTCTTCAGGAAACGCACAAAGCAAAAAGAGACCCTAAGCCACTCCTCAATAACCCAGGTTGGGTAACTTTAATTGAGTCTAGAGGTACTAATAAAGCAAGGGGCGTGGCGATACTAGCAAATAAGAACTTGAATATAGAGGTAGTGGATAGAATGGTAGACAAAGAAGGTAGATATGCACTAGTCAGAGGTAAAATAAATAAAGTACATTTTACAATCCTTAATCTATACGCGCCAAATAGAGGCCAAAAGAAGTTCCTAAACAAAGTAATGAAAAAGACCTATGATTTGGTTCAGGGAAATTTTTTGGTCACTGGTGACTTTAATGTGGATATCATGAAACATAGTAAAAGTCTTATAAATAAATGGGGATTAAAGGAAGCATATGAGTTAACTGGTCACAAGCCTAAATAGAGGCCAAAAGAAGTTCCTAAACAAAGTAATGAAAAAGACCTATGATTTGGTTCAGGGAAATTTTTTGGTCACTGGTGACTTTAATGTGGATATCATGAAACATAGTAAAAGTCTTATAAATAAATGGGGATTAAAGGAAGCATATGAGTTAACTGGTCACAAGCCTACCCCCACCTTCTTCTCTAACAGGTTTAGAACCTATTCTTGTATAGATTTTG